TTCCCCGGCTTCATTTGCATGATGCCGGCCGGCGCCATTTTTAAATGCCGGCTAGTTCAGACCCCGTGCCGCGCGGCTACACGCGGCCCGGACTAGCTAGTTTGGATTAGGCTTCCTATTCCGAACTAGCTGTACGCCTCGTGGAACTAGTTCGAACTAGGAAGCCTAATCTGAACTAGCTAGTCCGTGCCGCATGTAGCCGCGCGGCACGGGGTCTGAACTAGCCAGCATTTAAAAATGGCGCCGGCCGGCATCATGCAAATGAAGCCTGGGAAATTCAAATCTTGGGCTTCATTTGCAACTGCGGATGACTACATCACCCCGCTAGTTCGAACTAGGGGGGTAGTGAGACTTACCCAAAGTTAATGCTATAGACTACATACATTTCCCTCCCCGTCCTTGCCAGTAATTTTTTTAGCAGCCTGGCCAGCAGCCCAGCTTGTACTGGGTCCAGGACCTACACCTGCTGCGTCCCTGCTGCGTCTCTGCATTTAAAGTGTATTGGGAGCTGGATGGGTAGGAAGCCCCACTCAGTTCCAGCTCGCACCCGGTCCCACAAGGGGAGCTGGTTTTAAATTGGCTCCCCTTGCAGACCAGTGCTGCTGCTGAAGCAGCAGTGCAGAGTGGCAGGGGCTCCCTTGGAGTGGGGCTGGAGTGCACTGGCTGCTGTCTCTGGGGACTATAGAATAGTCAACTAACCGATAAGATAACTCTGGTCACCTGAGGAAGTGGGCTTTTTTTTAAATGGCAATTGCCTATCTCCTAGAACTGGAAGGGACCTTGCAAGGTTGTTGAGTCCAGTTCCCTGCCTTCACAGCAGGACCAAGTACCATTCCGGATGAATTTTTGCCCCAAATCCCTAAATGGCCTCTGCAAGGATTGAACTCACAACCCTGGGTTTAGCAGGCCAATGCTCAAAACACTGAGCTATCCCTCCCCCCACAAAAGCTCTTCATTCCATCTACATGTTTTGTTAGTCTATAAAGTCCTACCAGATCGTTTGTTGTTTTGTCTATAAGAATTCATGAGGTTACTTGACTATTAAATTAACCAATATTTACCATCCCTAGTCTACACTAGGGGGCAATGTCAAACTATAGTATGGAACTCCAGCTATGTGAATACTGTTGCTGGAGTCCACAAACCTTAGTTCAAGTTGCTGTGGTGTCTCCACTGTGAGAGATCAACAAGAAACCTCTTCTATCAACTTCCCTTACTCTTCTCAACCCAGTGGAGTACTGGAATCAATGGGAACACACTCAGCAGTTTATTCAGTGGGACTTTACTAGTCCCACTAAATCCACCTCCCGGGAGATCAATCCACACACCATCAATCTCCTGATAAGTATATAGATAAGGCTCTAGTCCCATTAGAGGGTTTCGGAGGAGTCAGCGGGTGTTTATCATATACAGGCAGTCCCCCTGTACAGGCAGTCCCTGGGTTACGTACAAGATAGGGACTGTAGGTTTGTTCTTAAGTTGAATTTGTATGTAAGTCGGAACTGGTACATATTGTAGGGGAAACTCTAGCCAAACATTTCTCCAGAGCTCAGTTTTATTCTCCCACACCTCACTTCCCTCAGTCCTTTATTCTCAAGCTGAGGTGTCTGCTGAGAAAAGCCGCTCCGCGTCTCCCTGGTCTGCTGGGGAGGGGCGCTAGCTTCGCGTCTCCCTGGTCTGCTGGGGGGAAGCAGCTAGTGCGGGGTTGCCTCACCCCATTTGTAAGTAGGGATCCAATGTAAGTCGGATCCATGTAACCTGGGGACTGCCTGTATATAGTAACCCAATGTCTGTGAGTCTGTAACACTGAAATGCTGGCTATTCCCTCTGGGCGGTGCTGCTGCCTCCCTGGCTGTTCCCTCTGGGTGGCACTGTTACCTGAGTCACGTCTTTCACCTCCAGCCGTGGCGCTTGGCTGATTTCTCTGCCACTCAGCCGGGCTGCCATGGGGGAGCAAGTGGTGCAAGCAGCCATTGGGCACCGCGGTTCTCATGCAGCACGTGGAGTGTGGCGCCCAAATGAAGAGAAAGCGAGAGACAGAGAGAAAGGCAGGCGGTGGAGGAGAGCTGAGGGGGGGGAGGCAGTAGGAGGAGGAGAGAGCGAGAGCAAGAGACCGGAGGCTCAGGAGAGAAGACTGACGTGGAGGAGAGACCTGAAAATCCCATTTTATGACGGGCTAATTGGCAAGTTTACTACACTTTTCTTTTCCTATCAAAGCTTCACTTTGATTGAATATTTGGTTAGTCTTTTTTACCTTGAACAGTGGTGGTTTCATCTTAGTCTACAATTAAAATGTTTCTACCTCATTCCACCCCTCCTATGGACAGAAACCAAAATATTCATGCCCCCAACCCATCTCCTACAACCTGCCTACAGAATTGCTAAATTAACAAGTAGGAAGAAAAATCAGAATAAAATAATCTTTCACATACATAGCGGTCAGTGATATCTATCCAGTGAGCAACAGTGAAACATGACTTCATTCAACTGAAGTGAAAATTATCTGCATGTCACAATACTCTCCCTTCTTGGACTGCTGGAAATTTTCATTTACTGTTGCGCCAATCTATGGCCTGTCCAGCCCATAAATTAATATATCTCTGACCTGAAATGGGAGAGCTGGGTTTAATTCTTGTTTTAAGGGAAACACACACACAAGTCTCCAAATATTTCCTACTAAGTAGTCACTAAACTCTTCAAGTTATTGTTAGACTTTTCATGCATAGATGACACATTCTTTGGCTTTTGTATTCCTTTCAAATTTATTTCTTAAAAAACACAGATTCGGCTCTGATGTTTCTTTGTGTAGCCAAGTTCCCTTGCATATAATTTGAGAACAGAAAAAGGCTTAGACTTGTTTTTATTGTAGATGTTTACTTGCAGGGCCTTGTCAATATTGACAGATTGGCCACATAATGAAGATCTCAAGATTTCTGTTTGTCCAAGAACTGACAAATAATCTCCTAAGAAAATATATTGCCTCCAGTTATCTGGCTGAACTCCTCACCCTTCCAAATACCAAAAAAGGACAACATTCAGTTGCATTCAACAAAGAACAGGGAACACGCACCATCCTTTTTCCCCTTTATCTCCAGCTTATGCCCCTTCCTAGATTTAGCAAGGAACAGTATGACAACTGAAGAATGAAACTAACCCAATGGAAAATTAATTTCTAAAACTAATTTTTGGGATTATATTTTCTTTTATTCTCCATTGCACACAGCAATCAAGTCTCAATAAGCCAAAGTCCAAAGGAAAAGTGCCTTTATGAAGCAACATCCCCGTGTACAGACTTGGGAAACTCATCTAGGTTTCCCAGGAACATTCCCAGTTTAGAATCAAACATGCCACGGCTCAAAGTTGAAATCAGGAGTGGTATTTCTCTAACACTTTACAGATTACATTAGATGTCACAGCATCAAGCCTGTATTTCTACTATATTTGAGCTTTTTATCCCCACCTCCCACCATAGCTATGTGGACTGAGAGGCCTGAGACCAGTGCAGACTAAAACCAGGGAAAAGGTTTTTTAGAATCTCACATTCCCTTGTGCAGAGTAAGCCCTCAGGATGGAATTGTTGATGCAAGTGTTTAGCTAGGGGGTTGAGTGTTTGCTTGTTCAAGTTTCTTTGCTTTTATCGTAGCTGGTGGTGGGAAGAGTGGAGAGGAAGAGATTTCCAGTGAGGTGTTGTGGGGAGATGTAGGTGTGCCAAAGCCAGGGATTAATGAGATGGTAGCACAGGAATGTAGATCCTTCTGCTGCCCGGAGCTCACAGAAAAGGGAGACAAAGGTGGCTTGAAGCAAAGGCTGATCCTAGAGATAATTCTGGGAGTGCAGGATCATCCCCTCTGGCCTCAGATCCGCCTCCTACTGGGGCAGGAGCTCAGGTGATGCAGAGCTGGCTACATTGCTTTGTATCCCTGGGAGAGCCCCCCCATGCCTGAGGAATTCCCAGATGTGGCTTTAGAGCCTTGCAAGGGGGTTTACCCAGGCCTGAGGGTTCTGATCCAGGGTGGCTTTGTGTTGCAGACTCTGGGTTGGATTCCCCACCGCTTGCACCTCGTGCCTTCATTTGCATCTGTAGAAGGTGACAGTGTTTTATGCTCACTAATCACAGGTATAAAGAAC